TTAAAATAACACTTATCACCTATAGAAGCAATGAGGAATCAAACATGTACATTGCAAGAGGCCCCGCAGTCTGGCCTTCTCAGCTGTTCCTTGTTAAGATCTGGACAGTATACATGAAAAGCTTTATACCTTATCCTGTGAAAATCCTCACTCCTGAAACATCTTCTCAGTATGGATGATTTGGAAGCAACAGCAGCAAAACCCAGGCTGGAATAAGTAGTGCTGCTGACTGTGATATTGTGATAGACAGGGATGGTTTCTACAAGGGGCAAGGAGATGGACTTTGCATCTGACTGATTGTTCTAATGCTCTGAAGGCCAGAGGCACCTAATGGTTTGTGCAGCCCCTCACCAGTGGTCCTGTTTTCTAGTGTCACTGCTATCCATGCCAATTTACAATCCTTGCTGCTTTTTCCCTCCGTGTGCGTAAAACACGGCTGTTCTTTCCCCAGTATGCAAAATGACGCCTGGGCTCGGAAAGTCAAATGGAGCTTTTCCTTCTTTTCTATCACAACTGGGAAGGAAGGTCTTGCCAGCAACGTCACACTTAGTTACACTTAGGGAAAGCCTTATGCTCCTCCTGGGAGCTGTTTGTTCAGCTGGGGTACGAGGAACAGCTCTGCTACTTGTATGTAAGGAAAAGTAGAATTACCCTACTCCTGCAGCTACATGTTCATGCCAGAGGCTTTTTAGAGCATATTTTGTCAGCACTTCTGATGGAATATGCAGCACAAAGAGCTGCTCGGATAAAAAGTGCCATTTCTGGTCTAGCCCTATCTCAGAGCACATCGCATCACGTGTCTGACATATCAATGCTTTCTATCTTATCTGACTACTGCACAGTCAATGGAAAACTCCGCGTGCCGCTCTGAGCGCTGCTCAGCTGTCTGGCACTTGCCAAGTTTCTCTGCATTTCTAAGCACAAGTTCTGCCTGCAATACCAAGGAAACTGACTTCCCCCACTTTAAGACTCCTACATGAGTTCCCACTCAGTAAGACATAGAGGAAAGAATGCATCCAAATGCTTGTGCAAAGGGGAGGTGAAATATTCTTCTCCACTAGTCTTGCACCAGTTACCTGACATCTAACTCCTGAGCCCAAGAACCGCTGTGCCAGGAAACAGAGGAAGCACCATAAGAAAGACAAAAGAAGGTGCTGGTGTAGTGGGTGTACAGGAAGACTTGTCCAGCCCTCCCCTCTGATCGTTTAACTTGTATACTAAGCTTCAAAAGGAAACTCTTTTGAAGGATGCCTCCTTGATCCTGACATGCTATATTGCTATCATGTTGCATCTTCACGAGTGGTGCTAAAAAAAGAGAAAGAGAGTTTCAAAAGAAGGAGGCAGCTCAGCTCAGGGCATTTGTTCTGAGGCAGGAGATTCCCTCTGCACTGCCACGTGTTTCAAGGGACCTGCCAGTTGTCATTACATTCCCCAGTTCACATGTACTGAGACATATAGCCAAGGCCATCTTCTCATCTCAGCTTAGTCTGTGGATTAGGGCTCAACATCAAGTTACCACAGTTCACCAAGTTTCCATGAGTCAGCTGAGACAAGGTTCTGCCCACAGCACATGCAATGTAATGTAATGCAACTTCACCGGGACTGCAGTGAAAGAAAATTAAATTAAGCTGCATTATTGCACTTTTGCCATCAGTGAAGAAAGCACCTGCTGAAAAGTCCTGGAGGTCAGCCCCCAGGTGCAGCTTTCAAACCATGGGGACTTAGTCATGTGTGACCACTACTTGTGCTGGTGTGCAATACTTCTGTACACAGATCTCATCCAGCTACAGAATTTACACACTTCTGTCTTACTGTTCTAAGCAGCAGAAAATGTGGAGGTCATGACTTATAACACAGAACAACAAAGGACAAAATCTGAGCAATAAAATAAAAGTTCTACAGACTCCTAAGATCAGCAAGAGGAACAGCACAGCTCTGGCTACCTCAGGAACATCCACTGCTGTGAACTGACAGGGCTTCAAATAATCTTAAAACACAAATATTTCTTCAGTCTCTCTCAAACCATAAGTGCTCACAAAAACACATGCACGTTGGTTTTACAAGGGTAGTGTTCCCTTCTCCCTTCCCAAAGCACCCGAAACAAAGACAAGCTGCTGCAAAACTCACAAGCATAGTCCTCACTTCACATCTTCTGGCCCAGAGTTTGGCAAGCTGACTAGAAATGTCAGACAAATGGGACTGGCATTTTCCATAGATTTAGCCTACATGTGGGATGGAATTGATTCCTTCGGACAACATGTGAGTGACGGCTGCCTCTTGCACATGCAACTAAAATTGGAGAATGCATCTACAAAATTGAGAGGTGACATGAAATAGTATGTGCTGTCTGCCATCCTTCCTAAATGGGGATATTGCTTGAAAGTGTCTGACTCTCTGTGCTATTTTATACAGGATAGGTCACTTTGCCTTCAAAAGATGTATGAAGGCAGTTACGACTGCACATACAAATGGCAGCAAAACAGAAAATTCCAATCTGAACCACTGCTGTCCTGCTGATCTGAGGTCTGCACATGCTCCTATCATAACTCTAGCTATGGATGACTCTTTAAGTATATGCAAAGGCCGAGCAAGAAAGGGATAGTTAATAATTTAAAACAATACCAATCATCAGTGGTAGTCAGGTAAAAGAATAACCTTAGTTCCCTCTGTAAATGTTTATACAACAGTCTTATCTCCACCTATGTCCTCTGCAGCTGTAGGCTAATACTTACTATTCCAAAGTTTGTGAAGTGTGGGAAGAATTACATCTCTGCTGGCCTGAGGTCATAGAGCAGGTTGTGTTTTCAAACATGTTGTAAAGTAGTAACACACGAAGCGAGCCTGGCCCCAGCTGACCAAAACCAAATGGAGGGATTAGGGCCAGAAGTATCTTGTAAAACGAAAAAGAGGCAAAATGCAGTCACTTAAAAAAAGGCAGCGTTTAAAAAGTTTCAGTCACATGCAACGGCTTTCACAGCATTAAGAAGAAGATGGAACTGCAGAAGGAGTTCACCTTCAGTAAATGCCAGCTTCCATAGGTCTGGGCTGCTTTGGACGTGGGTGCCTGCACTGAGCTAGGAGGTTAGAAATTCAGCAGGCATCCTGTGGCATCACCTTGTCCTGCTGCCCTCTGAGGGTGGTGATGGAGTGCCCCATGAGTGGCTGGGGTGGCAGGACTGGTCCTTCCCGTCTGGCAGAGGAGAGTGTTGATCAGTGCATGCCCGCTGACCTTTCTGCAGCAATCCCCAGTAGTCTGGCCAGGCTTCTCCTGCCGA